GAAGCAAACTCCTGGGTGAGGAAGGAGCCCAGTGTGAGGCTCAATCCCAGGATCCTGGAATCATGACTGGAGCTGAAGGCAGACGCTTAACCAACTAAGCCACCCAGGTGCCCCAGCCCTTAATCATTTCTAAGTGTACAGTTAAGTAGTGTTAAGTGCATTCATATCGTTGTATAATCTCCAGAACTCTTTTTATCTTGCAAAACTGAAGCTCTATACCTGTGAGGCAATTCCTGTTTCCCTTTCCCTCTCAGCTCCTTGCAGCCAACCTTGTACTGTCTCTACGAAATTGACTACTTTAGAGACCTCATATAAGTGGAATTACATAGTATTTGTCCTTTTTGACTGACTTATTTCCCTTAGCAGAGTATCCTCAATGTTCATCCATGCCATACCATGTGTCAAAATTTCTTTTTTGTCTTTTTTTTTTTTAATTTTCTTTGAGGTATAATTGACAAATTGAGGGGAAGGTATAATTTTCCCATATACCCTCCCTGCCCCACACTGGCATGGCCTTCCTGAGTATCAGCATCCGACGTGTTAGAGTGGTACATTTGTTACAATGGTTGAGTCTATATTGACATATCATTATCATCCTATAATTCACATATGGTTCACTCTTTGTGTTGTACATTCTATGGGTTTGGACAAATATATAATGACATATTTTCTACTATTATAGTATCATACACAATAGTTCACTGCCCTGCAAAATTTGTGTTCCCCCTAATCCCTGGCAACCACTGATTCTTTTCTATCTGCATAGTTTTGCCTTTTCCAGAACTTTTTTTTTAATAATAAATTTATTTTTTATTGGTGTTCAATTTGCTAACATACAGAACAACACCCAGTGCTCATCCCGTCAAGTGCCCCCCTCAATGCCCGTCACCCATTCACTCCCGCCCCCCGCCCTCCTCCCCTTCCACCACCCCTAGTTCGTTTCCCAGAGTTAGGAGTCTTTATGTTCTGTCTCCCTTTCTGATATTTCCTACCCATTTCTTCTCCCTTCCCTTCCATTCCCTTTCACTATTATTTATATTCCCCAAATAAATGAGACCATATAATGTTTGTCCTTCTCCGATTGACTTATTTCACTCAGCATAATACCCTCCAGTTCCATCCACGTTAAAGCAAATGGTGGGTATTTGTCATTTCTGATGGCTGAGTAATATTCCATTGTATACATAGACCACATCTTCTTTATCCATTCATCTTTCGATGGACCCCAGGCTCCTTCCACAGTTTGGCTATTGTGGCCAATGCTGCTAGAAACATTGGCGTGCAGGTGTCCCGGCGTTTCATTTCATCTGTATCTTTGGGGTAAATCCCCAACAATGCAATTGCTGGGTCGTAGGGCAGATCTATTTTTAACTCTTTGAGGAACCTCCACACAGTTTTCCAGAGTGACTGCACCAGTTCACATTCCCGCCAACAGTGTAAGAGGGTTCCCTTTTCTCCGCATCCTCTCCAACATTTGTGGTTTCCTGCCTTGTTAATTTTCCCCATTCTCACTGGTGTGAGGTGGTATCTCATTGTGGTTTTGATTTGTATTTCCCTGATGGCAAGTGATGCAGAGCGTTTTCTCATGTGCTTGTTGGCCATGTCTATGTCTTCCTCTGTGAGATTTCTGTTCATGTCTTTTGCCCATTTCATGATTGGATTGTTTGTTTCTTTGCTGTTGAATTTAATAAGTTCTGTATAGATCTTGGAAACTAGCCCTTTATCTGATACATCATTTGCAAATATCTTCTCCCATTCTGTAGGTTGTCTTTTAGTTTTGTTGACTGTATCCTTTGCTGTGCAAAAGCTTCTTATCTTGATGAAGTCCAGAACTTCATATAGTTGCAGTCATAAAATATGTAGCCTTTTCAGGCTTCTTTTATTTAGCTATTCATTTAAGATTCGTCCATGTCTTTTAATAGCTCGCTAGCTCATTTCTTTGTAGTGCTAAATAGTGTTCCATTTTTTGGATGTTCCATAGTTTATCCATTCACCTATTAAAGGATATTTTGGTCACTTCAAGTTTTAGCAGTTATGAATAGGCTGTAAATATTTCTGTAAAGGTTTTGTAGTAGATAAAAGTTTTTAACTTCTTTGGTAAATACCAAGAAGCACAATTGCTGGATTGTGTGATAAGAGTATGTTTAGTTTTGTAATAAATTGCCAAACGTCTTCCAAAGTGGCTGTACCGTTTTGCATTCTCACCATTAATAAATGAGAATTCCTGTTGCTTCACATCCTCACCAGCGTTTTGTGGTGGTGGTGTTTTGGATTTTAGCCATTCTCATAGATGTGTAGTATTATCTTGTTTTATTTTTTTAATTTTTTTTTAAATTTTTTTTATTTAGTTATGATAGTCACAGAGAGAGAGAGAGAGGCAGAGACACAGGCAGAGGGAGAAGCAGGCTCCATGCACCGGAAGCCCAACATGGGATTCGATCCTGGGTCTACAGGATCGCGCCCTGGGCCAAAGGCAGGCACCAAACCACTGCGCCACCCAGGGATCCCTATTATCTTGTTTTAATTTGCAATCCCGTAATGACATGATTGAACATCTTTTCACATGCTTATATGCCGTATCTATAACTTTTTGGTGAGGTGTTTTTTCAGGTTGTTTGCCATTTTTAAATCAGGTTGTTCATATTCTATTGCGTATTGTGGAAAACAGCTTTATTAGCTGACTTTTTACAAATATTTTCTCCCAGTCTGTGCCTTGTCTTCTCATTATCTTCATAGAGAGTATCTTTTTTTTTTTTTTAAGATTTATTTATTTATTCATGAGACACACGGGGAGAGAGAGAGAGAGAGAGAGAGAGAGAGATGCAGAGACACAGGCAGAGGGAGAAGCAGGCTCCATGCTGGGAGCCCAACGTGGGATTTGATCCCGGGTCTCCAGGATCAGGCCCTGGGGTGAAGGCGGCGCTAAACCGCTGAGCCACCCAGGCTGCCCAATTTTTTTTTTTTTTTTGATTTCTTGTGTAGACAATTATGTCCTCTTGAATAAACACAGTGTTTTCAAAAAAAAAAAAAAAACAAAAACAAAAACAGGGTTTTCTTCCCTTCCCAATCAGTATACCTTTTATTTCTTTTTCTTCCCTTACTGGACTATCTATAGGACTTCCAGTACAGTGTTGAAAAGGAGTGGTGAGAGGGAATATCCTTACCTTATTCCTAATTTTAGCGAGAAAGCTTCTAGCTTCTTGGCGTTAAATATGATACTCGCTGTAGATTTTTTATATATATAAAAAAATATATATTTTTACTCTCTCTTTGAGAGAGTGAGCATGTAGAGGAGAGGCAGAGGGAGAGAATCTCACACAGATTCCTCATTGAGCACAGAGCCTGCCACAATGCTCAACTCTGAGATCACAACCTGAACCAAAACCCAAGAGTTGGTTACTTAACTGACTGAGCTACCTGGGTACCCCAGTTTGAAAATCGGTAAGGGAAGTTCTTGTCTTCTTAATTTTTTTTTTTAAGATTTTATTTATTTGAGAGAGAGAGAGAGAGCATAAGCAGGAGGAGTGGCAGAGGGAGAGGCAAAAGCTGAGCAGGGAGTCGATGTGGGGCTTGATCCCAGGATCGCAGGATCATGACCTGAGCTGAAGGCAGAAACTTAACTGACTGAGCCACCCAGATACCCCTGTATTCCTTCTTTTTAGAGGCTGAATACTATTCTTTTGTATATATATCTACATATTTTATGTACCCATTTATCCATCAGTGGTTAGTTGTGATGCTTCTACATTTCTGGCTATTTTAAATGATTCTGCTATGAACATGGGTGTATAAATAGCCCTTTGAGACCCTGCTTTCAGTTCTTCTAGGTATAATTGCTGGAAGATAATTAATTATTGGATCATAGGGTATTATTTTCAGTTTATCAAGGACCACTATGCAAAATTTTATAAACAAGAATATTCACCACACTGATGTTTATAAAAGCAAAATGTGGGAAGCAGCCTTGGCACGTATCAGTAGGTGATTGGTTGCATAATTATGGCACATCCATACAATGAAGTATACTGCAGCTGTTTAGAAAGGTCTGTATGTTTTGACGCATCAAAATGTTTAGATAGATTGTAATATGAAAACAAATTATAAAAGAATATGTGTAATCTGAACCTTTTTTTTTAAATTTTTATTTATTTATTTATGATAGTCACACACACACACAGAGAGAGAGAGAGAGAGGCAGAGACACAGGCAGAGGGAGAAGCAGGCTCCATGCACCGGGAACCCGACGTGGGATTCGATCCCGGGTCTCCAGGATCGCGCCCTGGGCCAAAGGCAGGCGCTAAACCGCTGCGCCACCCAGGGATCCCTGAACCTTTTTTTAAATTAAGATTTTGTTTATTTGAGAGCGAGAGCGAGAGCATGAGCAGAGGGGAGGGACAGAGGGAGAGAAAGAAGCAGACTCTCCACCGAGCAGGTTGTCCAACACTTGGGACTCAGTCCCAGGACCCTGAGATCATGACCAGGGCCAAAGGCAGATGCTTAATCAACTGAGCCACCCATGTGCTCCACATATGAACTTGTTTTTATTTAAAATCATATCTATGTATGTATGCTTCAAAAAATTTTTGTAACGTTAACACATTTCCGTAGATCGAGGGGGATGAGGAAATAGATTATAAGTGCAGTAGAAGAGGAGACTTTTATCTTACCACTTTACAAAGTTACTGCATCATATCAGGATTTACAAGAAGCACAGTTTTATATGCAGAAAAACCAATTTAAGTGATTGTAGTTTTGGAAAAAATAAAGCTTAACTTCCATTTGTCTGTGAAGTACAAAGAAAATGTTAAGTATTTCTTTTACTTACTAATTTTTTTATTTCTATAATGGCAAATGCAAGTCACTGGGATCTTTAAAATATCTTTTTATTGTTACATGTAATATCAAGAGTATTTACTCTTTTGTGGCCTGACATATAAAATTAGCACAGTGAATTTCTACCAAAATGATTTTACATAAGGAAAATGTTCTACCATTTCTAGGTGATGTTTGAATGGTGCTTTCCATTTCCTATGACTTGGTGTGGTGAGGTATGTAGTAAAATTGCAGTCTTCCTCAGCTCTTGCAGAAAATATTGCTTAGTTTAAGCATTGTGTTACATTACACATTGAATTCTGTTCTTTGCCATTTCTTCTGACAGTAGATCTTCATGGAGGAACACGGAGTGACCCAAACTGAACACATGGCTACCATAGAAGCCCATGCAGTTGCCCAACAAGTACAGCAGGTCCATGTGGCCACCTATACTGAGCACAGTATGCTGAGTGCTGATGAAGACTCACCTTCTTCTCCTGAGGACACATCTTATGATGATTCAGACATACTCAACTCCACAGCGGCTGATGAGGTAACAGCCCATCTAGCTGCTGCAGGTAATGTTGTTTGGAACAGAAGCTCTTCGGTTTTTTGCTTAATTTTTGATATTGTGCATATCTGAAAGGGCCTCGGATGCAGGCATTGTCATGTATATCTTCATATCACATTTTCACAGTTTTTAAAGCCTTTCATCTACAGCTTATGCTTGTATTCTACTGAGACTTAAGATGTAGAATCACATACTATTAATGATTAGACTTTGGTTTTGTATTTTCATCCATTCCAACAACCTTTTGACTTTTAACTAAAGCATTTAGTCCATTTACACTAAACATAACCATTGGTATGTTTAGGTTTAAATTTATCATGCTTGCTATATACTTTCTCTTCATCCCACTTTGTGTTTACTTTTCCTTTGTGTTTTGGAGGGACTGAAAAGTTTAAATTTTTTTTCTTGTTAGTTTGAAAATTATACACACTTTTATTATTAGTGGTACCCCTAGAAACTATAGTGCATCCTTAACTTATTTCGAAGTCTTCTGTAGTTGATAACTTCTGTCCTTTTTAGGGACAGTGCAAGTCTCTTCAAACCCTTGAATTTTATTACCCCCCTCCTGACTTATATGCTATTATTCTGTGTATTAATTCTTTGTATACTTTAAGCTATACAAGACATTATTTTTGTTTCATACATAGTGTTCGTTTTTTCCTTTATATCCAACTTGACTTCTGAGAGTTTTTCTTTTATCTAAAGATAACATTTAGTATTTTCTTCAGCATGGAAGTCTCTCAGTTTTTGTTGGAGAATGTTTTTTATTTAACCTTCAGTCTCAAAGAATGTTCTCATCAGGTATAGAATTTTAGGTTGACACTTATTTTTTTCCCCTCATATTGAAGATATTTCTGCTGTCCTCTGGTTTCCATCCTTGCTTTTGGAATTCAGCTGTTTCATTTTAACAGGTGCTCCTTTGCAGGTTATCTCCCACATAGGTCCCTCCTCCAACTCTTCTTAAGATTTTCTCTGTCTTGGGGGATCCCTGGATGGCTCAGCGGTTCAGCACCTGCCTTCGGCCCAGGGCGTGGTCTTGGAGTCCCAGGATCGAGTCCCACATTCGGCTCCCTGCATGGAATCTGCCTCTCTCTCTGTGTCTCTCATGAATAGATAAATAAAAAAATCTTAAAAAAAAAAAAAGATTTTCTCTGTCTTTAGTTTTTTTGTTTATTTTTCTGTCTTTAGTTTTTGTGATATATTTGGCTTTGAACTTCTTATTTTTTCTATTTAGGATTCTTTGAACATCTTGAATCTGTGGATGATGTCGTTCATCAGTTCTGAAACATCTTAGTCACAAGATTTTTTTTTTTTTAAAGATTTTATTTATTTGAGAGAGAGAGAAAGCATGGTTGGGAAGAGGGGCAAAGGGAGAGGGTGAAGCAGACTTCCCGCTGAGCAGGGAGTCCAACGTAGGGCTCAATCCCAGGACCCTGGGATCATGACCTGAGCCAAAGGCAGACGTTTAACCAGCTGAGCCACTCAGGTGCCTCTTAGTCACTACATTTTGCTTCAGTTTTGCTTCTGCTCCATTCCATCTCTCCCTTCTGTGACTCCAGTTAGATATATTAGTTTTCCTCATTGAGTCTTCACCGAATCCTTTATGTCTCTTACCCTCTATTCTATTTTACCATTATCTTGTCTCTTTATGCTTTACTCTATATAGTTTCTTCAAACTGTCTTCTAGTTTATTAATTTTTCTCATCAGCTATGTCTGAAGTGCTTTTAAATCTGTCTACTGAGGTAGTAATTTTAGTAATAGTTAATAGTTTTTGTTTTAGAATTTCTAATATTTTTTCCTCCCAAATTTGTATAACTTTGAAAGAGAAAAAAAAAGTTTTTTAATCTCCATGAGTGAAGTAAGCATAATGATTTTACAATAAATTTGGTACTCTACTCTGAAGTGCCTCTGGCTCTTTTTCTGTTGTATGTTGTTGATGTTTCTTACTTACATTGCTTTTTCTCTTCATGTATTGGTTATGTTTAAATGAGTGCTGGATGGTGCATTTAGAAATTTTTTTTTAGAAATAATTTGGTGTCTAGAATGAAATTATTGTCCTCTAGAGAGGATTTTTGTTTGCTTCTGCCAGATGCCTGAGGACACTAGCAATCCTGGATTATCTTAATCCAATTTAAGGTTTGAGATTTTCTGGGCCATTAAATGACTTAAAGCTGGGCTATAGTTTGTGCCATTCTCTTTGCTATTTACATTGTACATTTAACATTATGTAGAAGACTCTATGTAAACGATGCTTGGATGGGTTTAATATTGTATAAGGAAAACTGATCTTAGAAGATATTTAGGAGAAAATTGGACAGTAAATCAGTGATTAGGAATGGCCAAAATATTTCATCTTTTTTTAGAATGTGCTATATTTAAGGAGAAAACAAATGAAAAATGAAAAACAGCCGTATTACTCTCCGTTATTATCCACTGTGTATTTCTGGAATTGTGAATTTAAAGTAAGGCTCAGTGGCAGAACACAGATGAGATGTTTGTGAAATATATTTTTGAAGTATTTATACTTCCCAGAAGAGGGCATCCTAACATAATGAATGCAGGTCAACTTCTTTCCTGGGAAGGAAGATGCTTTTGAGCCACAGTTTTGCTATTACGGCACTGCATTGTCACGATGTTAAAATTAGGAAAGGACTTTTATCTAACATTTTCATGTGACAGGTGTGGAAACTGAGGGCCAGGTGGTAGAAATTATCTACCATTTAATCATTCAGCAATTATCGAGGAATCGCTGTATACTCCATGTCACTATATGTAAATACAATAAACAAGACAGGCAAGAGCTTGCTCCTAAAGGAGCTTACAGGCCAGTGGTGAGGAGAAAGGTACAAATAATAAAGGTACAGAATAGTTTCAGAAAGCACTGAATACTCTAGAAGAAATAATGAAACAAGGTGAATGGAGAGGGAAGGGAAGGGAATTGCTGCTTTTTCTAATCCTATTCTCTTTCCTCCCCTGAGTTAACCAGTATTCTACATTTATCATTCTCATGTACTTCTTTTATTTCTGTTGTGTATGTCTGTATCAATAAATGATACTTAGCATTGTTTGGCATGTTTTAAGTTTTATATAAATGATAGCACTCTAACCCTTTCTATAACATTGTTTATCTCATTCAGTAATATTTTTCTGAGATTCATTCATATTGATAATCTGGCACTATGTTTTTATTTTAATTGTTACTTGGTATTCCATTCATTTTCTGAATATGACATATATTGGTATAATAGGCTGTTTGTAAGTTTCTGCTACTAATAATAGCTGCAAATGAAAATTATTTTGTTTTCTTATGCAAATTGTGGGAGTTTCTTTTGGCATTGTTTTTCAAATTTTGACAGCTCCCATAGTGATACGTTTTACATTGTGGTCTGGAATAAGTGAGTGTACATATAACTGTAATAACAATTTCTCATGGAGTATTACTTACATGTCTGCCATGATACACCCACTGATATGTTCTGGTATCTTTTACTTTATTCCATTTTGTTAAAAAACAAAAACTACTCATGAACCACCAAAGAACAGGAACCCGCAGTTTAAAAACACTGCTGAAGGATATACCCAGGAGGAGAATGAGAGGGCAAAGATGGGCACGTTTTCAACTTTATTAAATATTCCAAATGTCCTTCCAGATCACTATATTAATTTACATCCCAACAAGCAGCATGCTAAAGTGCCGGTTGCTTCTAGTCCGTACCATATTTGGACTTGTTTTTTGTTTTTGCTAGTCTAATGAGTATGAAATAGTATCTCATTGTTGGTTTAATTTGCTCTCTCTGAGCGAGCAATTCCGGCCAGTGCAGAAGATGAGATAGAGCACCATTTCAGATCTTTATTGACTATTTGCTTTTCTTCTTTTGCATATTTCCTCTTTGTGCCTTTGTCCAATCGGGTTGTGTCGTTTTTCCCAATTACTTTGTAAAAGTTACTGATAATGTTTTTCAATACTTTTCTCGATGGTATGATTGCATTTATTATCTTCTCCCAATTTGTTGACCACTCCTTCCCCCAATTTTTTATTATTTCTTTTTGTCTATAAAGGTTTTAATTTATATTATTGTGAAATTTATCAGTCTTTTACCTTTACTGTTAATCCTTTTGGAGTCTTACTTAAGGAACTCTTACCCTTGAGTGCATAAATACTCTACAACAGTTTATTTTAGAAGTTATAAAATTTTTTGTTCTTGTTGTTGTAATTTAGCTCTTTAATTCACCTGGAATAATACATTTCTGTATATGATATAGAGATCTAGTTTCATTATTTTTCCATACAGTCATTTGTCCCAGTACCATATTTTTAATAGTTCATCCTTTTCCCACTCTGTCTTCTGACATAAGAAGGTGTTTGTGTTCAGTTGCATTGGTTTATTTGTCTATCCTTCAGCCTGTTCCATACTGTCTTAATGACTATAGCTTTATAGTAACTACTGATGTTTGATAGGATGAGTTCACCTTTTAAAATTCTTCACAATAATTCTAGCTAATCTTGGCCTTTTGTACTTCCATTTAAGTTTTAGGATCAGTTTCTCAAGTTCTAGAAAAACCCATGCCAGGATTTTAATTTGAATTGTACTGAATTTATAAATTAATTAAACATCATTATTCATAATAGCTAAAACTGGAAATTACCTTGATGTCTATCAATAGGATAATGGATAAACAATGATTTATTTATACTCTGGAATATTACTCATCAATAAAAAGGAACAAACTACTAATATATAATATGGATAAATCTCAGAAACATTATTCTAAGTAAAAAATACCTTACACAAAAGAGTATATATTATATGATTCCATTTATTTGGAGTTCTAGAATAGACAACTAAAATAGGGTGAAAAAATTCAGAATTTTGGGTACTTTATTGTAGTGGTGGTATTATTATATATCTTGATAGGAGATTGATTATCATAAGTGTCTGCATTTTCAAAATGTATGGTACACTTAGAATTGAGTGTACATTGCATTATATGTAAATTTTACCTCAAAAGAAAAACTTGTAAAGAAATACTGAACTCTAGGTAATGATATTTTTACTGAATATTTAGGGGAGTCATACTGCAGTTTACATGAATCAGAATAAGAAAAATGATATGGCTTGATGAATGGATAGAAAGATGGATGGAGTTCATGGCTGGCTCATTAGAGCACGTGACTCTTGATCTTGGGGTTGTGAGTTCAAGCCCCACATTAGCTATAGAGATTATTTAAAAATCTAAAAAAATCTTAAAGAATTAAAGAAAAGAAAGATGGATAGGTGCATATAGTAAAATGTTAATGGTAGAGTGGTAGATATGAATATTCACTAAAAAATTTAACTTTGTTCTGTATTTGAAAGTTTCAGTAATAAAATGTTGGACTCCTACAACTCCATAGAGCACAAATAAGCTAATTAAAAAATGGACAAAGGACTTGAGTAGACATCTCTCTAAAGAAGACGTACAAATGGCCAAGAGGTTCATGAAAAAGATGTTCACATTATTAATCATCAGAGAGGTGCAAATCAAAACCACAGTGAGATGCTACCTCACACTGTTAGAATAGCTCTTATAAAAAAAAATAGATAAATATCAGCAAGGAATGTAGGGAAATTGGAACCCTTGTATGCTGTTGGTGGGAATATAAAATGGTGCAGCCTCTATGGAAAACAGTATAAAGATTCCTTAAACAGTTAAATAGAACTATCCTATGATCCAGCAATTCTATCTCTGGATATTTATTCAAAAGAATTGAAATCAGGATCTCATAGAGTATTCACATTCCCATGTTCATTATTCATAATAGCCAAGATGTGGAAGCAGTTCAAATGTCCACTGACAGATGAATGGATAAAGAAAATGTGGTGTAGATATAAAATGGAATATTATCCAGCCTTTAAAAAGAAGGAAATCCTACCATATACAACAACATGGATGAACTTTGAGGACATTATGCTAAGTGAAACAAGTCAGTTACAGAGGACATGTACTGCATGATTCCACTTATATGAGGTATCTAGTCAAACTTAGAGAAACAGGAGTAGAATGGTAGTTGCCAGGGACAGGGGTGTGGAAATGAGAGTTGCTCTTATGCAAGATGAATAAGTTCTAGAGATCTGGTATATAACATTGTGCCTATTTAACTGTATTGTACACTTAAAAAATTAATATGTCAGATCTCATTAAATGTTCTTATCACAATTAAAAAAATAAAATCTGGAAAAAAATGCATCAGTAAGATTTTTTATGGAAAGGAGAGGAAAATTATTAATTTATTTTTTTGCTTGCTCTGGGGCTCTTTAGTGGAGTTTATTTAAGTCAGACTGATTATACTACCAAAAATACATGTAGAGAGATTTGTCTGGATTTTCAAGAAGGCTTATTTTAATTGAGCCCCTTAGACCATATATAACATGTATAAATGTGAGTAAACTTAATTTTCATGTAAGCCTTTTACAGGGTTTACAGATAAGGATAAAAGTGGGTCATCTGCTTAAAAAAGAATAAAAAAAGGAATGTCCTTGATATGTTTAATTCCATAAATCAGAGACACCAATAATTCTTTTTTTTTAGTGATTAGCTTCAGGGCAAGCCAGACCAACTTTTATTAATATTTTTTCCTCAGAGTGGGATAAAACCCACTTTTCATCTTTTTCCTGCCAGCATGCTTTTATCAGTTTAACTTTGTGGTCAACAATGCCATTTTAGGCACAATTCTCAGATATATAAGAAAAAAATTTCCCATTAAGATAATATTCTTCCAGATAGACTTCTTATATGTGGTGTTGTTACTATTTGAATTCCAAGTATGAGTGATTATCTCTGACTTCCTTAACTTGGCACTGTCCACTTGGCAGTGTCTTGGGGTAATGGAAAGAGGGGCACAGGGTTGGAAGTAAAATTTGAAATCTGTGATTATTTTCTTTTGGCAAGCTCTTCCTCTCAATGCTGCAGTTTCATCTAGCACCTCTGAAAATATTGCCTTCGCAGTATGGGCATGCTGACAAAACAAAACAAAACATAACGTTTTATATCAAATTTAGCTAGTGTATGGTGGGGAGGTGTTTAAGTCCATCACTTTTTAAGATTCATTGTAAGTTTTATTGGTAAATGAAAATATGATTCGTGGTGAACAATAGCAAAGTATGTTGATAATATCAGAAACATTTTATTTAATGAGAACATATTAGGAAATAAATGCTACCTTTTTTGTACATTTATTTTCTGTCTTATACAGCTAGCAGGCTTTGCCTGATCTCAGCACATGCGTTATTATTTTAGGTCCTGTGGGAATGGCTGCTGCTGCTGCTGTGGCAACAGGAAAGAAGCGGAAACGGCCTCATGTATTTGAGTCTAATCCGTCTATCCGGAAGAGACAGCAAACACGCCTTCTTCGGTGAGGGCTCCCTTCTCCATATTGTTGCTGTTCCTCCAGTGCATTGTGATGTGAATGAGAGTTAGAACATACATTACTAGGTACACCAAGGATGCCAAGTTAAAGTCCTTGATGGCAGAATTAGACTTGAAAGTACTCCTATGGAATTAAATAAATGAAACTAGAAATGATGAACAAATGTAGAATATCACATCATTTCATTCAGAGAAAGTTTTTATGCCTGCTCTGTTCCAGACATTGCTGTAGGCCTTGGGAATATAACAATGAACAAAACAAATTCCCTTAAAGAACTTCTATTCTAGTGAAGGAAAAAATAAAGTAAACACATATGTAATGTATCAAATGAAGAGAAGTACTATGGAAGAAAAGAAAATAGAGTGAGGGGAAAAAAAAAGGTCTGGAGGAGGATACAGTAGTTTCTCTTTTTTTATAGAGATGGTCTGGGAAGTCCTCTTTTTCTTTTTTTTTTCAAAGACTTTTTTTTTTTTTAAGGTTTTATTTATTTATTCATGAGAGAGACACACACAGAGAGAGAGAGGCAGAGACACAGGCAGAGAGAGAAGCAGGCTCCATGCAGGGAGCCCGACATGGGATTCGATCCCCGGTCTCCAGGATCACGCCCTGGGCCGAAGGCAAGCGCTAAACCGCTGAGCCACCTGGGGATCCCCTGGGAAGTCCTCTTTGATAGGCAACCTTTGAATGGAGACCTAAAGTAAGTAAAGGGACATTGTTGATGTCTAGGGGAAGAGCTTTTCAGGCAGAGAGAAGAGCAAGAGCTGTTTCTGAAGTGGGATAGAACGTGATAGTCATATTTGAGGAACAGCCAGGGAGAGAATGACAGGAGATAGCATCAGAGCAGTAGTAGAAAGCCACATTTTGGGGTCGTTGGTCCACTATAAGGGTTTTGACTCTTGTTCTGAATGAGATGGAAAGTCAGTGAAGGCTTTTGACCAAAGCAGTGATACGGTCTGATTTATGTTTTCTTTATTTTTTTATTTTTTTATTTTTATTTATTTTTTATTTACGATAGTCATACAGAGAGAGAGAGAGGCAGAGACACAGGCAAAGGGAGAAGCAGGCTCCATGCACCGGGAGCCTGACATGGGATTCGATCTCCAGGATTGCGCCCTGGGCCAAAGGCAGGCACCAAACCGCTGCGCCACCCAGGGATCCCTGATTTATGTTTTCAAAGAAACTGCCAGGGTACTGTTTTAAGAATCAAATTTGGGTATACAAGAATGGAAGCAGGGAGAGCAATTAGGAGATTATTGTAGTAATCCAGGCCAGAAACTATAGTGTCTTAAAACCAACATAGCAAAGATAGTAAGAGATGGTCAGGTCCTGGATGTATTTCAAAAGTTACCCTTAACATAAGTAATTGATGGATTGGATGTGGGGTATGAGAACAAAAACAGGAGTAACGGGTGACCTCAATATTTTTGGTCTGATTACTGGAAGTATTGAGATGATACTTATTGGAAGAAGGACAGGTATAGAAATGAGTGAGGGTAGAGCATAATCAGGAATTTTGTTTTGGACAGATTAGGCTTGTGATACCTCTTACCTATTAAGTGGAGAAACAGAATAAGCAATTGATATATAAGTCTGAAATTCAAAGGAGAGATCTTGCTGAAAATGTCTAAGTCTTAGATCTTGTCTAAGACTATGAGACTAGAAGAGGTCACCTAGGGAGTGAGTGCCACCTGAGGCCTGATGCACTCTACCCTTTAGAGGTTGGAGAGATCAAAGCAATGAGCAGAGGAGTCCAAGAAGCTATCAGTGAATCAGGAGGAAAATCAAGAGAGCAATATCCTAGAAACCAAGTACAAAGGTGCTTTAAGAAGGAGGGCATGTGATTTGTCAAATACTGCTGGCAGGTTGAACAAGATGCACATTGAGCATTAGATTTAGCAACGTGGAAGTCATGATTGAACCTGACAAAAGCATTTTCAGTGGAATGGTAAGATTGAAAGGATTGGAGTGTCTTCAAATTTCTTGTTTGGTATATGGTCCTTTGCTCATTTCTGTTTTTTTCTGAAGAGTTTGTAGTTTGCAAATGAAGATTATTACACAGGTGTGGTACACGGAGGACTTAGTATTTGATGGTTGCACAACATGCATTCATAAGGAATAAGAAATTTCATCTATAAAATATTCCAGAAGTTTTTTTCTTGTAGTGTTTTAAATATTATATCCAAAATTTTAGATGTTTATTGGAATGTTGAATCCAAATGGAGTGCCAGTCCATGTAAATGATATGTGACAAAAGCTAGAAAATACGGTTTATACTAAGAACAGAAGAGGAAGATTATAAGAAACTGAAGGAAAAACCCAAAAGTACTGATTGGAAGCTTTCAACAAAGAGTTTCTATACCACCAGATAGATCTTCTCATTTCTTTTAATGACAGGATAGGCAGGAGTAATTAGAATGTGTTATCTATAGAAATGTCTTTGCTATAAGGTGCATAGAATGACAGTACATACTTTTGGAGAAAGATGGAAAAGTAGTTATGTTCCATTTGTTTCATTTAAATTAATTACTCACCAGTCTCTGGAAAGAGTAGTCTATGTTCCCAGAAGAATTATGGAATGTAGACTTTAAAATAATCTCCCATAATTTCAGAAGAAAAGCCCAGCATTTCTGTTTCATCTGATGTTGATATATTTGAAAAAGCTCTTTTACTTCTACCTCATTTTTTTTGTTGTTGTTAAGATTTTATTTATTTATTCATAAGAGACCCACAGAGAGAGGCAGAGACCCAGGCAGAGGGAGAAGCAGGCTCCATGCAGGGAGCCCGATTCAGGACGCGATTCCGGGTCTCCAGGATCACACCCTGAGCCAAAGGCAGGCATTAAACTACTGAGCCACCCAGGGATCCCTTCTTCCTCATTTGTAAAATACTGCAGGACCAAGAATTATTATTTATATGCAGTGAAAATCTGGAAATGACAACATTTTGAAGTTGTATTTCTGGATTAAAACTATGTCAGTGAGACATAAACAAGGACTATGTCAGTCAAAGAAATTAGAAGCAGGTTATTTAGGCCCCCTTCAGTAAGCATGGAGATGATATGATGACGTCTACAAGAAAGGGTCTCAGCAGTAATTATTACTATTATAAGTAGCAGTAAGAGAAAACCCCTTTAGTGTTACTGAGATCGGGAAGAATTCTACTCTCCACGTCTGACGTTGTGTCAAGGCTGTGTGCAAACTTATAGCCAACCTTTGGATCAGTGGGCTAGTCATGGTCTCTAGGACAGAGGCATGCACATATTTCTGCTGAACAGGGTATTCAACCTCACATTCCCCTTTTCATATTTTAGGTAAAAAAAAGACCCATATCTAATCAGAATGAATTTTCTGAAGTCAAAGTAAATTTTGTTTCCGTGTCACTATAATTTCTGTTTTCTTTAATTGTTTTTATTCTCTTTTTATTCTCTGATTCAGGAAACTTCGAGCCACATTAGATGAATATACTACTCGAGTGGGACAGCAAGCTATTGTCCTCTGTATCTCCCCCTCTAAACCCAACCCCGTCTTTAAAGTGTTTGGTGCAGCACCTTTGGAAAATGTGGTAAGAATATTCAGCTACGTTCTCAGATACTCTTTGCTTTCTGTGGGTCGTGTTCGTTCTTTTGGTCCTCTGTCTAGTACAATAGCTGTTACTTCTGTGCTCTCCCCTTATCCGAAGGTGGGAGTGGGACTGGTTTTCAAGCTACTTTATGCAGATCAAAGTAAAAGGGATTATTGGTTTGTACTTACTATAACAAGATATTCTATCCTATCAGATATTCCGTCTGAAAGATACCTTGCGTCATGCAAGGAGAAAAAATGGTGTTATATTTGTTAAGAAACCAGTGCAGGATTTTGTAAGAAAATTACTGATTTACATCTGGAACCAAGTGGGAGATAATTCTAAGTTGTAGACTTTGTGAGGCAAACCTCAGGAAGCATTTTGCTGATTGCTGGTATTTTAGTTACATGCTTAAAATCTCTTGCATTTCTTTGAAGAATTTATTCGACATTCTGCTTCAGTTTTGAAAAATAGTTGAATATTTTGATTGCCTAACTATCCATAGCTAAGTTTATAAAGATAGTATTTTACCTTTGCATACTTAATACTATGTGACCTACTTTTTCTCTAGCCAGAATAACTGTGAATTGTTAGTAGAATAACAGTCCGTCCAGATTTAAATTGCATTTTGTTTTTATTACAATAACATTTGTTAGCTAAAGGGACATTTATTGGATTTCTCCCATATTGAATGTAGACATTTCAGGAGTTTAGAACTGATTAGTTAGCAGTTTGAAATTTTGTTTGTTTTATTGTTTTTTTTCCACATACAACTGTTGTGGTTCTTTTTCAACATTTTTGAGTTTTGTTTTGAATTTTGCTAAAAATTCCTAAGGCCCTAGAATTAGGGTGCATATTAGAACCTTTCCTTAGAAGAGTATGGTAGATGACTTTAAGAGTCTAGTTTTTTGTCTCTTTTTTCCTTTGTCCATTTGTTTCATTTCTTAAATTCTACATATGAGTGAAATCATATGATGTCTTTCTCTGATTGACTGATTTGACTTAGCATTTTACCCTTTACATATATCCATGTTGTTGCAGATGGCAAGATTTCATTCTTTTTTATGGCTGAGTAATATTCCATCACATATTACAATATTATAATATTCCATTATACATGTATATATATGTATAGACACACATATCACCTCTTCTTTATCCACTATCTATGGATGGACACCGGGGTTGCTTCCATATCTTGGCTATTATAAATAATGCTGCAGTAAACATAAGGGGTACATATATCTTTTCAAATTAGTGTTTTCATTTTCTTTGACTAAATACCCAGTAGTGGAATTATACAGGCCATATTTTTGACCATGGCACAGAACATTTTGAACTTAATATCAAAAGATGGACAGGAAAAATTTTTCAGTCACATGGAAATTTAAAAATACTTAGGAAAAATTTTTCAGTCACATGGAAATTTAAAAATACTTCTTAAAAGAAAAACTTAATTTGCAGACTATTTAGAAATTATAAAAGAAAAATTAAAAGTTATGATCTGAACCACTACTCAAAAGAATATCCATTGCCTTAATTTTTTTTTATATATAAGGAAGTTGGAAAAGAAACTTCATCTAATTCAAGAAGCTGGAAAATGAGTCTAAGAAAAAAATAGAATAAGTAAACATGTGGAAAAAATTAATGAGTTTGTGAGCAGAAAAAGTAGAAATGTTATATTCAAGAAATGATGCTATGCAAAGTCCAATGAAATAGAAAAGCTTCTAGTATGCTAGTTGAGGAAAAAGGAGAAGAAAGCAAATATATAGTCTTAGAAATGATATGAGTTACAATTGCAGGTAAGGAAAGATCGAAAATTGTAAGGAAATGCTGTGCATTAATTCTGTTGTTATAAATTAAGAACCTCAACTAAGTGGATAATTTAGTAAGAAAATAAAATAACTAAAATATATCTAAACCTCAGTAAAACAATAAACATGTACAAAATTGAAAAAGTAATTAAAATGTATCCCTCAAAGGGGACACTGCTCTGATTATTTTGGATGACTTCTGTTAACCTTCAAGGTACAGAATATTCCTTAATATACACTGGTATACAGAGTGGCATTAAGTAATTAGAACCCATTGTTTATCATAATCAGTACACAATATGTTGTACATAATCTCTTGTTAATAACAGTTAAGGAGATGATTTAGATGTCTAATATTTATTGAATGCTTACTGTGTTCTAGGTATAGTTATAAGCACTTTGTATAATCTCATTTAATAATTTTAAAACTGATTTGCATTTTGTCCTCCTGCCTGAAGCTGTCATTAATCTTCCTTTATGCTTTTTTAGCTAGAGGCTACTGAGAAACTCTAGAAAAATTAAAATTCAATAGGGATGTTCATCTTTGGAATATGGATTTCAGAATCAAGATTGTTAATTTTATTTAGAGTTTGTTAAAGGGAGTTGGAAACATTACTAGGCCTTTTAATAGTTGATATTGTATTTTGTTTTTTTAAATATTTTTCAGGTTTCTGTTTATTTTTCCATACTGTGTTCTGCTGATATTACCTCCTTGTCCATAATTAGGGTATATATATAGCAAGGCACTGTAAACAAAATTAAGTGACTCACAACAAACTGGAAAAATGTTTTCAGGTTAATAACAGCAATTATGATTTATTGAGTATTTTTAATATGTCTGTTTTCTGCTAAACATTTTATATTTATGATTTTAAGTAATCATTGCAATAACCCTATGATATATATGTCTTATTATTTGTGCTTCACAGATGTAGAAATTTGAGGGTTGAGAGCTTAAGTATTTTGTTCAAGATCACACAGTAAGTAGCAAACTAATGATTAATATTCTAAATATATAACGAGCTCTCAAAAATCAATAAAAATGTGAACAGATGAATAATAAAGACCCAAAGATATGTTTGAATATGGATTAGATGTTAGATGATATTAAAGAATTCTGATATTTTTGTAGGATGTGATCATTATACTGTAGTTATGTGTAAGAATGCCCTTATTTTTCCAAGATGCATGCTGAAGTATTTAGAAGTGTTGCAGTGTCTAAAATATACTTTAAGTGGGGGTGCCTGGATGGCTCAATTAGTTAAGTGTCTGTCTTTGGCTCATGTCATAGTCTCAGGGTCCTAGGATCAAGCCCTACGTCAGGCTCCTTGCTCAGTTGGGAGTCTGCGTCTCCTCTCCCTCTGCACCCACCGCTCCCCCGCTCTTGCATGCTCTTGCTCTCAAAATAAATAAATAAAATCTTTAAAAAATAATAATAAAATAAAATATACCTTAAGTGGTTAGCCCCCAAAAATATTGCGTGTGTGTACAGATAGCAAATAAAGTAATTATGCCAAAATGTTGACAATTATTGAATCTGAGTGGTGAGAGTAGAAGCATTTATTTTACTGTTCTTTACATCTTTCTGTATATTTAAGTTTTTTCATTTAAAATCATATTTTCAGACGCCCAAAGACAAAAGAGAAAAGGACATAAACAGAAGGAGGAAGAACAGATGTCAAAATTTTCAAAGAAATGGAAATTAAAACAGCCATTTTACATTGCTTAGGTTGGTAAACATGGTAAAGATATACAATTTGCAGTGTTGGTATGTCAAACCGGCAGTTTAAATTGGTGTAATTTTCTAGAGGGGTGATTGGCAACTAGTATAAAATGTGCCCCAAATGTACACTTTTTAACCCAGCTTCCTTTTGAAATTTTATCCTAAGGAAATAATTGGTTAAATGAGTGAAGATAGATGTACAAGTATATCAGTCACTGTACTCTTTATAGTATTTTTTTTAATTGAAAATAACCTAAATGTTCAGAGATAAGGGGTTAGTTAGATAAATTGATGACTCATCCAGAGGTAGGACTGCTACACTGCCATTGTATAATGATGACGTTGGTCTTTCTATTAATATTTTCAGATCGAGATGATGTACTAGGTGAACAAAATTATAGAACCATAGAGTTTGGTCCTGCTTTAAAAGTCAGTCTGCATTTTACACATGTTTATGGAATTGTTGAATACAGAGGATTGTTATAACTAACATTTGTATAATATGGCAGATTTATAAAACTTCGTAGGTTTTTTAAAAAAGATTTTATTTCTTTATTTGAGAGAGCAAGAGAGCAAGCAAGAGCACAAGCAGGAGAAAGGGAGAAGCAGGCTCCCTGCTCAGAATATAGAGCTCAATCCCAGAACCCCAGGATCATGACATGAGCCGAAGGCAGACAATCAACTGGCACCCAGGTGCCCTAAAACTTTGAAGTATACATATTCTCAGTAAATCTGGCAGTAATCCTGAGATGTGCGTGTATGATTATTTTCATTTTGCAAGAGAATGCTAGCTCAGAGAGGCTGAGCAATTTGCTCAACATTTCCCAACTTCTGAAAGATAGAGCCATTGTCGAAATTTGGGTTCAAGGTGATGGAGTATTACATCTTTCATAGATTTGTCCAGGGTATTAAATATAGGGTTTTAAGTTTAATCTCATTTTCTTAGTCTTTGCCTCCTTTTCTAAAAGGGAACAAATAGAGCTACCTTCCAGTTCTCTACAATCCTGTGTGTACTTACTATAAATGTATGTTCATTTGTATGATTATTTGACTAACGTCTATCCCCAGCTAGACTGTGAGCACCAGGATGGGAGGGACTGAGTTTGCTTTGTTCTCCATTATGCTCCAGGAACCATACATTGCCCCTGCCACGAGTAGTTGCTTAGTAATATTTGTTGAATGAATAAAGCATCTTCAAACATTTGGCAGCACTCAGCAATAAAGATTCGGTTTCTAAGTTCTGATCCTACATTGGATCTCAGTTGAGACCTTGAAAAGTAAAGAACTGTGAAGTTAGCTTGTGCCATTCTTTATGGTGCTTGTTCCAGTTTGTAATTATATATTTATTTTTATGATTATTTTTTGTTCATCTTCTCCACTAGATTGGAATATGCACAATAATGGGACACTGATGGATAAATTTGCTTTCCATTTTGTCCCTGGCCCACCCTTAGCGCAGTGGC